GCTTGGATCTGCACGTCCAACCGTTGGAGAGGGCGCTGGGTGCACTGGGAGAACTCCAGGCCGGAGAGGGTGGGGTTGAGCAAGAACGGCCAGCTCTATTTAAGGAACAGGCAGGGGAGGCGAAACATGGGGAGAGATGCCGATCCCAGACAATGGTACTCACCCCTGCACCCACCTTTCTCTCCCCCACCCCCTCCCCCAACCCCACGCCTGGAGGGACAAGGTGCAACAAGGGAGCAGCAGCTGCTGGTGCTCCCAGCAACAGGCATGCAACAGACATGACCCGGCGGCGCCTCCACCTCCTGGTCCAGTTCCTGCCCGCTCCTCCTTGAGATGACCCCTCTCGCCCCAGCCGATGTCTGCCTGGGGCCAGGTGACTGACATCCCTGAGGCCGGCTCTCCACTCAGTGCGTCCCTTCACCTTCAGGCCCCTGGCAGGGCTTGCTGCATGGCCCTTGCCCTGTCCTCTAACCTCTTGCACCCCTGCGCCCCTCAGCGATGGCCTCCCTCGCCTGGTCTTTCGGGAGAAAACAGAAGCAGTGGGCCAGAAACTCCAAGCTCCTCCTCTGCTCCCCACATCCTCCTGGAGCTCCTGTCCCTTGTTCTCCCCTCACGGCCCAAAGCCTTGAGTCTGGCCTGCAGTTGCCTCCTCATCTCCCAGTCTCACCACAGCCTTCCCAGTGACTTCCACAGGCAGAGCCAGGGTACCAGGGTCCCCTCTGGCTCCCTGGAGTCTCAGCCACATTCATCGTGGTGAACTCCTCCCCCCGGCTTTAAGGACCCCCCTTCCCAGGAACATCCCGTTCTGGTTTTCTTCCCGCCTGGGGTGAGGTTGCGGTTGCGGTTGCCAGCTTCCACCAAGGCTGCAGTTAAACGTGGGAGTGGCCTGGGACTCCCTCTGTGTTCTGCGGCCTCCTACCCCCCTCCCTCTGCAGGGGCGTCCAACCTTTTGGCGTCTCTGGGCCGCACTGAAAGAAGAGTCATTTTGGGTCTCTCACGTGAAATACACAAACATGAACGAAAACAGATGAGAAAAAACAAGGTTTCAAGTAAATTAGTGGTTTTGTTTTGGGCCTCACTCATAGCCATCCTGGGCCGCCTGCGGCCTGCATGTCACGGGCTAGACACCCTGTCTAGAGATTCTGTCGGGGACAGCAAGGCTTTGGGGGTTACCCCCATGCGGCTCACTCCCTTTGGGACACCGCGCTGAGCTTAGTATCCAGTCCTCCCCTTGTCCCTCTCCCATCTCTGTGCTCCCTGGGAACCTTCTGCAAAGTTTGCTCTCCTTTCCTTTTTTTAATTTAAAAAAATGTTTTAGCTGTGGAATATCATAACAAACACAGAAAGATGCACAAAACAAAGACATTCCACTCAATGAGGTCTCAGAGGTCAAACGCAAAACGACTCAGAGGAAGCACACTTCCGGCCCTCCTGTGGTCCCCCATTCTCCCTGCTCCATCCCGAGTGTTCAGGGCAGGGGTTCAGGGCTTTTCTCAATCACTGCCTCACCTGAACATGCCTCTCTGAAAAAGCACTCTCTTCACGCAGCTGGGCACCTGTGATTAAATGCATAAGGCAGAACTCATTCTAACTGCTGGGCTTTAGCACCATCGTTTATCTTGTCCACTTCTGCTTACCCCACCTGCTCCTTCTCTCGGAATTCTTCTCTGGGGCCCATGGTTACAAGATCTACGTCCCCTACATTTCTCCTTGCTTCTGTAGTCATAGAAGTATACACACAATCACAGTGGTTTGTCTGTGCTGTCTACACTTAGACCATTTTATACACACTTTTGGGCATCTCATTTTTCTCACTCATCCCAGCTTTGTGGCAGGCCCTCCAAATCAGGTGTTATTATTCCAATTCCTTCTTTTTCATGGTGACATAAGACCTGTCCACGCTCTTGTTGATACTTCTCCCTCAAAAGGAAGGATCTTATTTCCCTTTCCTTGGATATAGCCTGGACTTAGTGACTTTGCTCCTAATGAATAGAATGAGGCAGAAATAACATGGGGGCTTCTGAGTCCAGGTGAGAAAGACAACACAGCTGCCACCTGGCTTCCTCTTTCTCTTGGGACGATCATCCTTGGAAGCTTGCCACCACGTTGTAAGGGCACATGAAGTGACCACATGCGGGTGGGTGTTCGGCCCCAGCTAAAGTCTCAGCTGACGGCCAGCACCCAGGTGCCCGACTTACATGGGGAGACTTCAGACAACTCGGGCCCCAGCATTCCAGCTGACGCAGCAGAGGAGAGCGATCTCCAGGGAGCCCTGCCCAAAGACAGACTTGTGTGCAAAATAAAGGTTACTGTTTTCAGCCACTAGAGTTAGATAATTTGTCACACAGCATACTAACCCAAACAGTATGAAGGTAACCAAAATGTCTCCAACTATGTCCTTTTGGATGGACTCATTGTCTCACCACAGCACATGATATAGCAATAAATATCCCTGACCATTTAGCTCACATGTTGTGTCCATTCTTGCCATGCACCAGGTGTCTAAGCCAGGTCAGCCCTTGGAGAGCACTTATGGAACGAATGGAGAAGTGAATGAATGCTAGGGCTGCCCCACGGAGACCCTGCCCTGTCCAGCCCCTACCCATACAGAGCAACGCTGGAATGGGAGATTGCCTGGGCAGAGGAAGCCAGGCAGTGCCTGTCTGCGAGGTCTGAATGACTGGCACCTTTTGGGCTTTTATTCTGTGTTTACAGCACCTGCTGCCAGCCCTGAAGCCACCCATGGGGAACAGCAGCAGGGGCGCAGCTGGGTCTCCTGGCATTCCCGCTGGTTGTGGAAGGCCTTTTGGGCCTGACTCAGGACTAGCCTGGATTTGGGGCACCCTCGCTGTGCCCCAACTTCCTGCTGCCCCATTTTCACTTTTTCCATAATAGTTGTCAGTTAACACCACATGGCTTTATTTTTATTCAGCCAGTCAGCAGGAACTTACTTGGTGTTTGAGGCGCTCAGGATACATTCACGAATAACACAGAGGGATTTCCACCTCACAGAGCTCATATCCTAGTGGAGGAAGTCAGGCAATGCTGTATAAGGATAAGAAATACCGTTATAAACAAAAAGCAGAGCGGGATAAGGGGCTAAAGGTCATCCCAAATGGGGGGGATGGGTGCTGAGAGGTGCAAGTTGCAGTCTGAAATGAGGGGCTCTGCAGGCATAGGGGCGCAGTCCTGCAGAAATCCATCAAAAGTGCTTTCCACCTCCAGGGGACGACTGGAGCCCAGTCCCTGAGTCCCAGCGTGCACGGGGTGTAATATGCGACGAACTTCGCGAGGCTGGGCAGTGGGGCTGGAGGCACACAGAGCGGGTGCAGTCAGACAGGTAATGAGGAATCCTGGGCCCCTGCCAGCTCTGGCTTTTTTCGGGGGAAGTGCTCCTGCAGGGTTCTCAGCCGGGAACGAGGGGTTCTGACTTAGGCATTTTCAGGCTGACATGCGGAGAACAGAATGAAGATGGCAAAGGCAGCAGCAAAAAGACTGGAGGTGGCTATGACATTGCCCCGGGGAGAGGCGGTGGTGGCTTGCACTGGATGGAAGCCAGGGGCCTGCTGCCATTCTCATCCTGGGGATACGATGCAAAGGAAGCAACGGAACTATCTGGTAGGCAGGAAGGAAAGGAGTCAGAAGGTAATCTGCCGCACTGAGCCTGAGCAGTAGGCAGGATTGAGCTGCAATCACTTGAGCTTGGGGAGATGGGGTGGAGTGGGCCTGGGGGATGAACCTGAGCCAGGATGGCACAAACTGAGTTTGAGATGCTAAGTGGAAGTCAAACTGCAGATGCCTCGTCGACTGCTAGACATTGAAGCTAGCACTCAGGAAAGGGTCTGAACTGGACATACACCTTCGGGAGTGATCAACCTGTGGGCAGAACTTTAAGCCACGAACCTGGATGAGATTATGAAAGATACAGTGTAGACAGAGAAGAGGTGAAGAGGAGAAGCAGGGAGGTCAGAGGAAAACCAGGCGGGCATGGGGCCCTGGAAGCCACTCAGGGAAGGTGCTTCCAAGAGAGGAGAGATCAGCTGGTCACAGGAAGTGTCTTTCTTCTCTGCCCCCATAGGGGCCACTTTTTTTTTAACTTTTTGTCCACTGCTATATTTCCAGCACAGAGCATGCATGCTCAATAAATATTTGTTGAATGAATTAGCATATGCTTGAATCCACACCTCTGAAAACCCCCACTACACAGGGCTGCAATTAACAATGGCCTCCTTTAGAGAAAGAGCAGAGATCAGGTAGGAGGCTCTGGCCATTCACAGTAGCACAGAACTCCTCCCTCGCCTTTCCCAGCAACACTGACATTCACTCAGGTGGGAGCCCTACTGGCCAACACAGGACCCAAGACAAATGAACCTGCCAATGTGGAGCTTGGTGGGACCTGGGTTGACACTGAGTTATCCACCAGTCACCGAAAAGCTCTACTCCTTTGTCCATCCCTCTAGATTTAGTCATTTGTCCACCCATCTACATCCAATCATCTGCCCATCACATATATACATATATTCCTTTGTCCACCGTCTACAGCCACCCTTTTCTCCTTCTTTCCGTCCATCCGCATCAGTTCATCCATCTACCAGGGTGACCAACTTCCCGGTGCTGTCTCTTTGTTAGCACTAAACGTCCCACATCCTGGGAAACCCTTTAGACAGTTGGTTGATCCATCCATCCCCCAGGCATCCCACATTGCATCCATCTGCCCAAAGCCCATCTGTCCTGCCGGCCACCACCCGCCACGCACTGACCTCTTGGGCCCACCCTCCCAGGGGAGGTAGACAAAGCTCCGCCCAGTGCCCCGCCCTGCCCCGCCCCTCCCGGAAGCTGCCGCAGAGAATCCTGGCACCTTAGCAACAGCGCTTTTGGGATTACCCAATCCGCCAGTCGGGCTCCCAGTGCGAGCCAATGGCGAAAGTCGTCGGGAGTGAGGTGTGGGGGGCGGGGTTCGGCGAGGCCGCCGCCATCTTGATGGGAGAGAAACAATAGGACAGAAGCACAGCAGGCCGGGGCTGTGGCCGCAGGTACGCCCGGTGTCCGAGCTTCTGGCTTCGTCGCCCCGGGAGCTTTGAGGGAGGGCTTCTCCCGGCTGTTGTGGAGCGAGGTCTCTGGTCACTTGGGGAGGGGCCCTTGTTATTATGATGGGGGGGGCGGTGGCTGGGAGATGCCCAGGATCTTTTTGGGGGGCCGCATTTCCGCGGGTCACTGGCGAGACTACGTCTTCAGGTTATTGGGAGGGAAGATCTACCCTGGCTTTGAGGGGCAGTGTCTTCCCTGGTCGGGGCGGGGGTAGGCGGTCTCCCGGTTATTCGCGGGGTTCGGGATCTGCCTAGGTCATTGAAGTCCCCTCGGGTCCTTGGGGGAGGGAGACCCCCCGGGTCATTGAGGGGTCTCCCCAGGACGTGGGCGTCCCCGATCCCCCGGGTTATCGAGGGGGTTTCCCTTGAGCGTGTGGGTGGAGGGGCCAGCCAGCGCCGCAGGTGCAGTTACCTGGGGCCGGCAGATGCGCAGCCATTTTGAGTGTCGAACGGCCCCGGGGCCCGTGCGCTGGTGTCGCGCCGTCCGGCGGCGGGGCGAGCTGCACACCTAGCCTTCCTACCCAAAACAGGCCCGAAGTGGGTCACCGGGAGCTTTCGTTTCGGTCGCACTGCGTTACCCAGTGTTTGTTTTCTGCCTGCTGGCGATTGGTTTCGTTTTCCGGTTCGGTCCCACGAAGAAAGCGGCCCTGGCAGATCAATGAGCGCTGTGTTGTGAAAATAAAACCCAGAAGCCAGGAAAATCTAGTGCTCTTCGATGCCAGGGGAAAGAGAAGTAGTCACCGCTTGAAATAAAAACACGTTGGTAGAAAACGTACCTAGAACGAGAATAAAATAAAGTCATTTGGAAGAATAGGTTTAAGAAAAAGTACTGAGACTTTTGAGAAATGGTAACAAAAATGTTGCCGATAACCCGTTTGATGGTAGGTTTTATAAAGCACCATGATTACTGTAATTTTGATGAATTCTGGTATTTAAAGTATTTGCTGTACTTGCCTTTTTAGCAGGGTAACATTTTAAGTGAACTAAGATGCTTATTTACGGTTGTTGCCGGGGAATTTGTGTAATTGCATCCTGTAACCTGGTGTTAAGTATTTAAAGAAAGTTTCAGGGTGGCATTGTTTTAACTGTAGCCACTATCAGAATTAGAAACTGGGTGTCATATTTACACAGTAGGCCAGTTGATCGCTTAGTAACTTTTTCTTTGGAGAAAAAATCATTTGAGCTGTTAACCGTTACTCCAGTTGGTTTACCTGCCTTGTGATTTTAGAGTGGAACTCACAGGAATTATTAGAAATCAAGTGGATGGGAACTAGGCCTAGAATTGATATAATTGTAAAAATCAGTTTAGCAGGTGCAATTGACTTACTTTGTGCTTCAAGACATCGAAAGTGACAGACAAGCCCTGGCTGGCGTGGCTCAGTGGGTTAAGCTTGGGCTGCAAACCAAAGGGTTGCCAGTTCGATTCCCAGTCAGGGCACAAGCCTGGGTTGCAGGTCAGGTCCCCAGTAGGGGGCAAGTGAGAGGCAACCACACACTGATGTTTCTCTCCCTCTCTTCCTTCCCCTCTCTCTAAAAATGAATAAATAAAAATCTTTTGAAAGTTAAAAACAAAGAAAGTGGCAGGCAAGTGCAGTGTATACCTGTGCCAGCCCTGTGTCTGTCAGAGCAGCAGGATGTGTGAGGAACAGTGCTGACTGGGTTCCCTTGCAGAAGGTACCAGAGCTTTCTGTACGCTCGGTGGTTGTCATCGGTATCTAGGCAACCACGTTGAGCCTGAGCCTCCCTGAGGTTAGCTTGTGGAGGTGAAAATTTTCCATTGTTTGGCTCATAAAGAGGATGCACTTGGGAAGAATATGTCCTTTAAGTGTTTTACTGGGTGAGATAATCACCTTAAACAAATCGAACATATTCTTGCATAGTAGAAAATAAGTGGATGATTACTCTTACATGATGACATTTCTTAAAACTTAGTTTTATCTATTTTTAGAGATAGGGGAAGGGAGGAAGAGAGGGAGAGAAATATCAATTGATTATCTGTCATACACCCGATGTGAGAGAGAAACGTCAATTGATTGTCTGTCATACACCCCCGACTGGGACCAAACCCACAACCCAGGCCTGTGCTTTGACTGGGAATCGAACTGGTGACCTTTTCAGTTTGAGAGGCGATGTCCAACCAACTGAGCCACAGGGGCTGGGACTATTGAACATTTTCAATTCTGCTGTTACAGATAGAGGTTTTCATATAGGCAGTGGAAGATGTCCTTCCATGTTCTCGTGAGTACCCCTGAGGGAGAGGCAGCTGAGTTGGTTGCTTACCCTCTGCTCAGGGTTTGGGTTTTTCTTGTCCTCTGACCTTATGTGAGTATGAGAACACAAGTCTCTTCCTCAGGCCCCTTGAGCTGCCCTTGCCCTTTGTAGACTTACCCTGGACCTTACGGGAGAGACACGCCACCACCTCTCCAGGGCTTGAGGGCGTGACGGGCTGATTCGGATGCTTGACCTACGTTGGGAGTCAGGGGAGGACTCTAAGCCCTGGGTGCAGGGGCCTGGGGCATTTGGAAAAGCGGACCTTGCAGGGATGCCAGCTGGCAACTGAGGAACTGGGCCCCCAAAACTGATGCAAGTAGCCAGGTATGGGGCAGGTGAGGGCTGGGATAGAAAGGAGCAGGCTCCCCCGCTCCCAGGAGTGACTTACCTCACTCTCAAAAAGTGCTTTTACTTTGAAAATACCTTAAGCTCCTTGTATGGAGCCAAAGAAAGGGAATAGTGTGGTAGATGTCAAAAGTGGAAGTGCCCCTTTGGCCCTCCCTCCAGTCCTCAGATGTGCTCCTTATCAGGAGCTGAAGACACTGTCCTTATCAGAAGCCAGGCGACTTGCTTCAGAGCTGTGGGTACAATTGAACTTGATTTCCCCAAAGAATTCTTCAGTATTTTACTGTACTTTATTTTGGAAAGAAATCTCAACTCATGAAAAAAATTGGCCAATGGTCCCTGTGATAGACACAGTGCTGTGACCTGTGCAGTGTCAGGAGTGTCCCCCCTCGTATCTGGTTCTTCTCCTGGCTGCGTGTGGAGGGGTGCTGACTGTGCTCAGACTGGTTGGGTGGTAAGAGCTGCCAGAGGAGTGCCGGGAGCCTGGGTGGTTTTGTAGACCTTCTAGAGGAGAATTTACCTGAGGGAGGTGTTGTGAGGTTCCAGAGGAAACTGTGTCCCCTGGGCACAAGGTCTGGCAAGTGCAGGGTACACCTTCATCCCTCCAGCGGCAGGTGCCACACTCGGGCTAGCCTGGGCAGGTCAAGGCTGCCTGGTTCCGTGGCTGCCAGCGCATGAGGACTGACTCATTTTTGTCATCCTTTCTTTCAGAGGGTGAGTTCATGTGTCATCTGGTTTGGGAACTGTCTGAGAGATGAGCACTGGTAAATATTGACCACAGGCAAGGAGCATGTAATCTTGCCTGAAGCTCAGGGGGTTTTACCTATTGACACATGAGGGAACTGTGACTCAAGGAAGGAGTGCACCGCATAGATGGAGCCTCGGATTTCGGCCGCAGTCTCACTTCCGTGTGTTCCTGTTGTGTGGGTTTCTTGCCAGTGGTGGGATTCGCGCATTACACCAAGGAGAAAGAGACTAAAGATGGAGATTTACCCTTTTTTAAGGAGGACTGAAAATTCTTGTGTGTGTGGAATACATGTAGCTTTTTATTTTAAAAAAATCTGATGTTCTGATAAAGAGGACATGTGAAACCTTAGAATTACTGATTTAGATTTCCTTAAGGCAGCAGTGCTACAGTTTTAGCTAGAAAAGGCTTTTAAATTGCTAAAACTGTAATTCTAGCGCTGTAACTCTGATGAAAGCATTTACTTCTAAGCAGCTGAAAGTGTCTTCTCCCTGCACCGCTCCATCTGGGGGCCTTCTAGGCTGTCATTCCAGAGCTCTGGTCCGAGGAGGCAGCGGCGGGGCAGTGTGGTCGCACTGGTGGCTCTGGAGAGGAGGGGCAATCCAGGAGACTGCTCTTCCCATACGGAAAAGCTTGTTCAGATTTTTGGAACAGAATTTGCTGTTTTCTTTGTCTCTCAGCATTGGAGGAAGGATCTGCATTACGATTTTCACGAAACAGTTCTACTCTCAGGCCTGAAGACCGCAGGCGTCCGCGTCAGGTAGACGCAGGGCTTTTGTGTCTTGTCTCACTGGCCCTGCTGCTGTGGCAGAGCCAGCACCTGCTGCGGCATGGTGGCCGGCCAGCCGGCCAGGCTGCAGTTCCTTTGAGGAGGGTAGGGCTGTGAGTCCAGCATTCTTAGCAGTGACTTTCATCTCAGGTACCTGTGTTTTTTGCGGTGAGGCCCAGGTGATGTGGTGACGTCATAGTGCCACGGTGCACCCTTTTGTAAGGGAGGTAATCACAGTATCTACTCCAGAGGGCTGTTGTGAGAGTCAGGTTCTCTCCCTAAATGGCAGCTCTCCTGTTTGGCTTGCTTGTGTCCTGTTATCATTGAAGGCTGCGGAATTGGTCTCGTCTTCCACTAACTTCCTGGCACCTGGTATACGCCTTAGGGCCAGGGTGTGTTGGGGTTGTTATCCTCACTTGTTTACATGTGGTACGTGTCCCAGAGTCTCCATCTTGGAGTGGAGCTCTGAGCACGCATCACAGGTAAGATCAGTGATTTTGTGGAAGGGTTTAAAATCTCCAAGAGCGAAGCAGATCTGGGTTTTCCTGTTTTAGTTTTCAGTAAATTCTCTTTTTTCCCCCCTAATGTCCTCCTAATTAAAAGATAACACGTGCTGCAAGTTTGAGACTATTTCAAGAAGTTTGGAACATATAAAAAACTGAAGAGAAGGGAGTAATGACCTTACTGCTTAGTACAGGCAGATCCAGGTTTTGTGGTACCTGAAGTTTATATAATGTTATATAAATACAATCTGTAATTTTATAATTTTAAATGTCATTTTTAAGCAAAAGAAGTTAACAATTATGAAAACAATTAGGTAAGGCCCTGGCCGGTTGGCTATAGTTGGAGCATTGTCCCATTCACCATTCGATTGTGGGTTCAAATCCTGGTCAGGG